CACCTTTCTTCCCCGACTGCCTGTCAGACTCTGCACCGGACGCCACATGCACACATGCAGCAGACAAATGGCAGAGAGGACAAGGCTGAAATCACCAAACTCCATCCGCCAGAAAAGAAACTTAGACCAGCAGCACAGAACTAGTTTGGATATCTCAGAAACGGACACCTTCGAGAGCACCGCCTCTCCATACAGCTCAGAGTGCGTGTCCCGTTTATAGCTTTAATCCCAAACAATAAAACGTGAGAGTATGTCAGTTAAAATACACTCTAGAAATAATTTTCAACATTGTGTGTTCGTTCACTTATCTCTGACTCACAAAAGGGCTCACACTGATCCTCATGCGACACAAAGACACACTGCAACCTTCCTGGCTCTGGGGGCTGACATGAGTCACGGCACGAGGGTGATGGTAAAGACAGGACCAGTCTGGCTATGCTGTCGCACACACCTGCATTATATTAGCAACTACTTTCATAATCGTTTAGAGCATTGTGACGGCATGTCTACTGCCGGGATAATTACAAACCAGTTAGTCAGCTGATGGAGAAAATAATCAGCAGATTTAATGAAAATAATCAATAGTTGTACTTGAATCCCAACAAGACCAGAAGAGCTGCACCAGTGTGGTATTAGTACTTTTAAGTAAAGGATGTGAATACTTCCTCTACTACCTGTGCTAACATGCTTTACCTATACAACATGTTCTAGTTATGTGCTCTTTTTAAAATCATGTTTATAATTCAGTTTCTTCTTCAGGGTCAGTCTAGTGCTGCAGTCCAGCTCAGTCATCTGTCACAGTCACCTGCAGTAAAAAAGACCCTTTTGTTTTCATTCCTTTAAGAGTCACTGTAGCCGATAATAATAGTACCCGTGGAATTCTGGGAAACGATCATATTTTCTGAGACTGTTATCATACCGTGAAAACCTCTGTTACAACCCTACTCCACAGTGCTGTGAGTAACCTACAGAGAAATGTGTACGCTGCTCCACAGCCCCAGTCTCTGGACCACTGGGAAAACCTTAATGTACATGTCAAATGTCTTCATTACAACCGAGTGACCATGTTTGGAGTTTTATCACAGACACACAGGCTGAAAACCCTGCGATTAAAGGGCAACAGCAGCTATATGGCTCTCATCAGTGAAGCACAGGGATGTGACGATACACAATACTGGGTTCACAAGAATGACACATGATTTCAACACCATTTTCCAGAAATCATTAATGATGGAATACAGTGGGTACAGAAAGTATTCAGACCCCCTTAAAATTTTCATTCTTTGTTATATTGCAGCCATATGCTAAAATCATTTAAGTTAATTTTTTCCTCATTAATGTACACACAGCACCCCATATTGACAGAAAAACACAGAATGTTTGACATTTTTGCAGATTTATTAAAAAAGAAAAACTGAAATATCACATGGTCATAAGTATTCAGACCCTTTGCTGTGACACTCGTATATTTAACTTAGGTGCTGTCCATTTCTTCTGATCATCCCAGAGATGGTTCTACACCTTCATTTGAGTCCAGCTGTGTTTGATTATACTGATTGGACGTGATTAGGAAAAGCCACACACCTGTCTATATAAGACCCTACAGCTCACAGTGCATGTCAGAGCAAATGAGAATCATGAAGTCAAAGGAACTGCCTGAAGAGCTCAGAGACAGAATTGTGGCAAAGCACAGATCTGGCCAAGGTTACAAAAAAAATTTCTGCTGCACTTAAGGTTCCTAAGAGCACAGTGGCCTCCATAATCCTTAAATGGAAGACGTTTGGGACGACCAGAACCCTTCCTAGAGCTGGCCATCCGGCCAAACTGAGCTATCGGGGGAGAAGAGCCTTGGTGAGAGAGGTACAGAAGAACCCAAAGATGACTGTGGCTGAGCTCCAGAGATGCAGTCGGGAGATGGGAGAAAGTTGTAGAAAGTCAAAGAAAGTCAACCATCACTGCAGCCCTCCACCAGT